ATTTATCAGTCTGAGGTTCCACTGGTTGTCCTCACTTCATGGCATGAGGAAACATATTTTGCAGCCATTATTTGACATTTGGGCATTTCTGCCAGTAAACAGGGGAGTTTCTGTGTCTGATATGAATTCTAATTCAGGTTTTGTCGTATGTAACATAATATTATGTATGTTGTCTTGTGTAACAGTGAGTCCAGACCTGGAACCCTGAACCTGAATAACCTTGAACTCATCATTAAATATTTTCCATTCCTGAATCTACTTTGTTTATTAAGTGTTTTTCAAGTCAAGATGTTTTCAGGGGAAAATCACAGACTCACTTTTATTCAGTATTCCAGTCTCCACTTCCTGCTTGTGGCGTAAACACACAGTTGTGATGACAGGAAGCCTCTGCTGCTCTTTCCAGCAGCAGAAGTGACTCTTTAAAAGCAGAAACCTGATCCCTCCTTCCTGTGTCCGCAGCGTGTTTCCTCGGGAGCTGAAGGAAGTGTTCGCGGCGTGGAAGCAGCAGTGCGTCGCCCGCGGCCACCAGCAGGACATCAGCAAGCGCCTGATCAGCGCCTCGCTCTTCCTGCGCTTCCTCTGCCCCGCCATCATGTCGCCGTCGCTCTTCAACCTGATGCAGGAATACCCGGACGACCGCACGTCCCGGACGCTCACGCTCATCGCCAAGGTCATCCAGAACCTCGCCAACTTCACCAAGTGAGTGTCCGCAGGTCGACGGCGGCTCTGAGGAAGCTGATCGGGAAGCGGTTCCACCCCGAGTCCTGGTCTGCGACGAGTATCGTAAGAAGCAGTTGAGCTGTTTGAGGAAGGAGTATTTAGTCGACCTTTATTTATTTTTTATTAAACCTTTATTTAACCAGGCAGGACACACGAGAACAACTCCTTCTTTACAAGGAGGGGAGGAATCAGCATTTAGAGTAAAGCTTAGAAAGAGGACAGAGAGGGTAAAAACACTACAGGTCAGCAGGCTTAAAACCTCTTTAACAGACCTGCAAACACCTAATAAGTAACAGGTCAATCGTGTCTCGGTCCACTGGGTGACTCGTACAGGCATGATAACAGGGCGCTCTAGAGGGTCGCCCGCTGATCAGGAGGTCGGCGTGTAGAAGAGTCCTCCTTCAGGATACAGAACTGACCAGCTGTTGGCGCCTTGTCTGTATGGTCAGGACGGTCCGTCTCTCGTTATGTACAAACATGTCACGTAGCTTTAGCACGGGGAGCTAACAGGAAGTTTGCGCTGTAACATAAAAGAAACAGATTTTTACTTCTTTTATTTTGAAGGAATGATGTTTAGCGACACTGGGTCTAAACGTGGACACGTGGTCCGTCTGTGTCTCGTCTTCAGGTTTGGGAACAAAGAGGAGTACATGGCCTTCATGAACGACTTCCTGGAGCACGAGTGGGCGGGGATGATGCGTTTCCTGTCGGAGATCTCCAACCAGGAGACTCTGTCCAACACGCCGGGCTTCGAGGGCTACATCGACCTCGGCCGCGAGCTGTCCGTCCTGCACGCCCTGCTGTGGGAGGTGGTCTCTCAGCTCGACAAGGTAACGACCGACACCGAGTGTGTGCGTGCAGCTGCTGACTGGAGACTAAAGCCGACAAAAGCGTGAGAAAAATTGGAAATTCCACACAAAGAAGTTTGTGTTTGTGAGTCAGACACATTTTTTTGTTGCTGTTTTTCCGACAGACGTGGAGCAACACAGATGCTCCGTTAACTGAACTAACTCAATCTCACCACGATATTACTGAGACGCCGTTTGCATTTTGCGTAGCTGCTGTAGTGTTAATAAAAAATAAAATAAAATAAAAATACAAATTTAAATAGTAGGAAATAAGGTTTCAAATGTTTTCTAGGTTTCCTTTGAGGATGCACCGAAATTAATCTGCTGAAAACAGCAAAAACAGCAAAAACAGCACATCGGCTCCATCTGTGGCTGACTTCTTAGAAAAGAAACACTGTGAGTGTTTCTGTCTCTCGTCTGTGAGAATGAGATTAAACTAGCCGCGCCTACATTTGGAGTGCGCACGTATTCCAGCCTTTACGGTAAGTGAAGCGGCGCAGGGCGAGCTGACGGGCAGGTTAGAGACTTTATCCTGTCAGAGCGGCTGTGAAGTCTTCAAGTTACAACATTATTTATCAAACCGGGTCGGACCGGATGGATTCAGCGCGAGGAGGAAACACATGTGACAACGTCCGGTTTTCAAAATAAGGCGTCTGTACAGGATGGAAATAAGATTAACTGGATTATATTCACAGGAAGTATAAAACATATATTACATATGTCCATTAAAAGTAAATGGACTCATGTAATTTTCTTTACCGGACCCTCTCGGGCCCCAGACCCCCCACCATAGTCTCTACACATCCTGTGGGAAATGGGAATGTGAAATGTTTGATTATATTCAGCGTTCGGTTCATCTCCAGTGTCCTTTCAGGTATTTCTGTACCTGTTATTTTTATTAAGCCACTCTATACTTTGAAAAACATGAAGCTTTTTACTTTATAAAGCTGAGCACAGTGTTTGACCTGAGGAAGCAGCAGGCGGCGGCGAGGGGCGTGTTTCCAGATTCAAGTCTCGCTCTCATCCATCAGATTAGATTAAAAACTGACGGTCGAGTCCGAAGCGTCGTTTTGTTGTGAGGACTCGAGTTTCTTCTCCTGTTTCCCTCCAACAGTCACCAAAAACTGCATCTTTATAAAGAGCTGTCTGCATACAGACCGCTCAGGAATATAAAGATGTTGAAGCAGCCGCTCACTTCAGGCCGTGTTACACGCTTTAAGGGCCGTTGATCAGCAACCCCCCCCCCCCCCCCTAACTATGATGTAACAAGCGAGCTGTTGCTTTAATAAAACGGTTACCAAGCGCGGCAGAAAGAAAGTAAAGACATTTTTTTATGAATACAAAAAGTAGGCTGCACCGTGCATTCGACAGTTGCTAAGCAACACAAAGGCTAGAATTAGTCTAAGTATTTATTTATATTTATTTGTTTGTTGAGGAGCCACTAAAAGCTGTCCAGCGTCAGGAGGTTGGTAACTGGTGTGAGTCTGGCGCTCTAACGGAGTGAAAGTTCAGTTGGTGATCGGTGTGATGTGAGCATTTGATGATGTGACATGAACATCAGGAGCACTTCAGCTCATTTAACCACATTAACGCTGCGCGGCTGAACCTCACAGCATGGCCTGAACTCCCCCCTCCCTCCCTCCCCCTCCTCCCCCCCCCCCGGCTGTGCCTCACCTGTCTCACCTGAGCTCGGCCTCTCATGGCTCTGCTGTGTTTGACGTGGTTCTGTTCAGTAGAAGCATGAAGTTCTAGTTGGTTTTTGTTTCCATTAAGTTTCCCTCATGTTTTTCTCCCCCCCCCCTCCCCCCTCCTTTCTCCCCCCTTCTTTCTCCCCCCTTCTGTTCACTTCCTGTCTGGCCGACTCTCTGTTGCCCCCCCCACCATCACCACCTCTGCATCCTGGTGCTTCCATTCAAACCATCCACACACACACACACACACACACACGCACACACGGCGACCACAGGGTGAAAATTCCTTCCTGCAGGCCACCGTAGCCAAGCTGGGCCCGCTGCCGAGGATTCTGGGAGACATCTCTCGCTGCCTGGCCGCTCCCACGCCCGTCCAGCAGCAGCTGCGCCGTTTCCAGGACCACAACTCCGCCCACAACATCAGCGGCAGCCTGTCGTCAGGGTTACAGCGGATCTTCGAGGACCCCGCCGACAGGTAACCAATCAGCTGACAGATACGACACAGAGCCATTAAAAGGTCACGTTAGCTTCAACGTGGCGGCCTGAAACAGGATGTGATGTCACGGGTCTGTGGGCAATCTTATTTTGAAAGACACATAAAATCTGTCTGACACCGTTTTTATTGTTTCCTGGTTTTAATGTCGTCACGAGTAAATGATGTTGATGACTTCCTGTGTACGTGTCACTTCCTGCAGCCACAGCGAGGTCCGTAGCCTGCAGTCTCCCGTGGGCGAGCTGATGGAGGGTTACGTTCGCGGTCAGCGCCCCCTGCTGGCTCAGCAGCATCCCTCCGCCCACACCAGCTTCTCAGACCAGGAGGAGCGCGACGCCCTGCTGCCCAACGGCCGCAGCATCTCTATGGTGGACCTGCAGGACGCCCAGAGCCTGCACGGCCTCCCCGCGGGGCCGCCGCCGCACCACGAGGCCCCGCCCCGCCTCAGCAGGGCGGGCTCCCAGGCCTCCATCGGACACGCCCCGCCCCCGCTCAACTACCCCCACTCCAACCCTCTCACCCCGCAGCCGGCGCCGCACCAGCTCAAAGCCCCGCCCAGAGACGGTCAGCCGCAGAGCGCGCCGCAGGTGAGGCGGCCGCTGAACCCGTCGCTCAGCCAGCAGCGCAGCCTGCAGCCGCTGTGCTTCCAGAACCCCGTCTACCACCTGAGTAACCCCGCCCACAGCCTGTCCACGCGCTCCGCCCACTCGCTGCGGCAGGACTCCAGCTCCGAGAACCTGAGCACCGAGAGCTCGCACAACAGCCACAGCAACTCCGACGACTTCGGCAGCCAGGTGGGGGTCAAAGGTCGCGTGGCGTCCAACAGCAGCCTGGACGAGTTGGGCAGCAGGCGGAGCACGCAGAGCGAGGAGTGCTCGACGCCGCGCCGCCACGTGCTGCCCGACCTCCCGCCGGGCACCGCCACAGCGGTTGCCATCCCTCGTCAGAGCACGACGGCGGGCACAGCCCACATCATCAAGGTGGAGCAGCAGAGCAGGGGAGGGGGCGGAGCCAGGACTCCACGCTCTCTCCCTCACAGCGCCTCGCTACGCAGCAGCAGCAGCGCCAACACGGAGCCCACGCCCCCCACCACCGGCCTCGCCAACCGCAGTCCAGTCCAACAGCCCGCCTGCTCTGTGGAGAACGTGGCTCCGCCCCCGAGGAGCGCCACCAAGCAGCCGCCGCAGGTACTGCAGAAACTTCAGGACGGGAAATTGTTAAAAGTGAAACTCTGATTAACAGATTTAAAGCTTTAAATATTTTTATATCTGATGTCACTGGTTTGTGTTCAGGTGGTGTCTCCGGTGGAGGCGGTGGCGGTGGCGTTGTCCCCGGTGGAGAGGACGGCGGCCTGGGTGCTCAACAACGGCCAGTACGAGGAGAAGGATGAGGAGGAGGGAGCAGAGAGGAGCAGGGAGGAGAGCAGGAACACTGAAAAGGTACAGAGCATAAATAAATCATTAACGGTGGGAGCTCCACCCCGACGCGGCGTCACATCAAACTAACCCCGCCCTCCTGCACCGACAGTACGAGCTGGAGATCACGCGGCTGAAGGAGCGGCTGCGGGTGTCCGGGCGCCGTCTGGAGGAGTACGAGCGGCGGCTGCTGGCTCAGGAGCAGCAGATGCAGAAGCTGCTGCTGGAGTACAAACACCGCCTGGAGGACAGCGAGGAGAGACTGAGGAGGCAGCAGGAGGAGAAGGACAGCCAGATGAAGAGCATCATCTGCAGGTACAAACTCCACCCGGCTGGGCTGCACAGGGCAGAGAAACCAAACACACCACTGCTGGGAATAATAGTCCTGTTCTGTAATGAGTCACAGCTGAGTGTCGTCTGTTTGTCTGTCACAACTAAAACTACTAAATAACGTCCGTTACAAAAAGGGTTTCATTACTGCGCACGAGATCAGTGATGACATTTTGGGAACTTTTAGAAACTTTGGATGATTTTTGAGAACTTTAATGACTTTTGGAGACATTTTTGACCCAATTTTGAAAACTTTTTGATGAAGTTCTGGGAACTTTTTTCGACCCAGTTTTGGGATTTTTTTGGGAACCTTTTGAAGAAGTTTTTTTTTTTTTTCCATTCAGTTTAAGAAACTGACAGTTTTAAAAACGTTTTGATGATATTGAACTTTTTGAAGCCATTTTGGGAACTTTATGACAATGTTTTTGGAACTCTTAAATTACTTTTTGATGATTTAGGAATCGTTTGAGGATATTTTTGGAACTTTATAATTACTTTTTTGGAACTCTTTAATGACTTTTGGGGACATTTTTGACCCAATTTTGAAAACTTTTGGGGAAATTTTTTACCCAGTTTTGCATTTACATTTATTCATTTAGGTGACGTTTTTATCCAAAGCGACTTACAATTGCTATATATAAAAATTTATCTTTTTGATAATTTTTTAAAAAACGTTTTTCATGCAGTTTAAGACTAAACTTTTTGATGATATTGAACTTTTTGAAGCAGTTTTCGGATTATTTTTTTATTTTTTTTGGAACTTTTTCACAACATTTTTTGAACTCTTAAATTACTTTTTGATGATTTTTTAGGAACCGTTTGAGAATATTTTGGGAACTTTGACTTTTTAAAAAACTTTTTGACTCAGTTTAAGAAACTTTTTGACACATTTTTTGGAACTTTTTTGGACCCAGTTTGGGAACCTTTTGAAGATGTTTTGAGAACTTAATTACTTTTTGAAGCAGGTTTGAGAACTCTTAAATTACTTTTTAATGACTTTTGGGGAACATTTGGACACAGTTTTGGGTCACAGAAACATTTAAAATTCAATGTTGATGTTGATATGTTTGGCATATAACAAGAGATAACTGGACACAGGATAACAACGTTTGCGTGTTCGCAGGCTGATGGCGGTGGAGGAGGAGTTGAAGCGGGACCACGCAGAGATGCAGGCGGTGATCGAAGCCAAGCAGAAGATCATCGATGCTCAGGTACAGACAGCAACACAGATCTCAGATCAGCCTGCAGGCCACAACATCACACCTGTAACACAGCTGCATCTACATCCACACAGTGCCGACCATCAGTAGAACACCAGCTTTCTGTTTGTTTCAGAGTAAATTTACTCTCAAACATTAAATGAGCCGATGTGGTTCTCCGCACTCAGTCCGCCCACAGCTGGCACAAAAAACAACCAGTTCTGTAAAACTTTTTTAAATTTCTCTCTTGATGGTCGTCAGAGAGGAAACCAGCAGCCGTCTGTGAGCTTCACTTGTAGCTCTTGTTCTCCGCCGCTCGTCGACTCTTCACTGATTTCAGGTCAGTGATGGATGTGAAATAAACCACTCAGGCAAGTAGTGACTGTAGCCCCGCCCCCTCCCTCACCTCCACCACGCTGTTTTTCTTTTAGAAAGAACGCCATCATTGACGGGTGCCAACACACCTCACACCTCAGCAGCCAATCATAGACCAGATTTGCGGTCCGTTTAAATAGCAGTTCAACAAGCTGAACGCTCTAAATCTGTGAAAACTCTAGTGGACTTCTGTGAGGTCAGAACGACAACGTGTGCTGCGTTACAAATCGCAGTACATTCTGCAGCAGCGAGTACAAAGTACTGTTGCATGCAGTATTCATACAATCAGGACATACTATTTCGTACTTACATTACACCTTGAACTTTGACCCTCTGGCTCATACTCATGCTGCCCTGAGGATTGTGGGTCAGAATAGCCAGAAGAGCTTGCTGACTTGCAGAATGCGACTGGATGCAGCAGAACATCCTGCAACTGCGTTCGACATCCTTTGCACTGGGTCATTCTGGCATAATATATAATGTACCCGTAACCTTCAGACACTTATTACCCAGCATCAGTTGATATTAGCACTCTTTATTCTACAGTGTATTTCTATCTTGTTCAGAAAAGTGAAATTAATTGTGTTCAAAAAGTTCCCAAAACTGCAAATTGAATAGAGTTGTTTTGGTTTGCTAAACGTTGAAAATAAACTAAATTTATACCCACTTGCCAGTTTATTAGGTACATCTGCTAAAACTTACAGCCCTGCAATAAATCCTCCTTTGTGAATATTCTAATGTTCAGTTTGTGGATCTATAACAGGCTAAATAACATAATTTATTTCAGGGCTGTAAATTAGACTGCATTAGTTTTAGCTAGGTGTATCTGATAAACTGAATATACACCTAGTTGCCAGTTTATTTTCAGCATTTAGCAAACTGGAACTTCTTAATGCAGGCTTGGGAACATTTTGACAGTTTTGGGAACTCTTGGATGCAATTTTTGGGAACTTTTTGACGGCGTTTTTGGAACTCTTGGATGCAGATTTTGGGAACTTTTTCACGACGTTTTGGAACTCTTGAATGCAGTTTTTGGGAACTCTTGAATGCAGTTTTTGGGAACTCTTGGATGCAGTTTTTGGGAACTTTTTCATGACGTTTTGGGAAATCTTGAATGCAGTTTGGGAACTTTTTCACAACGTTTTGGGAAATTTTTGACACAGTTTTGGGAACTCTTGGATGCAGTTTTTGGGAACTTTTTCACGACGTTTTGGAACTCTTGAATGCAGTTTTTGGGAACTTTTTCACGACGTTTTGGGAACTCTTGGATGCAGTTTTTGGGAACTTTTTCATGACGTTTTGGGAAATCTTGAATGCAGTTTGGGAACTTTTTCACAACGTTTTGGGAACTTTTTGACACAGTTTAGGGAACTCTTGGATGCAGTTTTTGGGAACTTTTTGGGATCTGTGGTATTTGGTGTCTAGAGGAGTTGAAACACATTCCACTTTCCGCTCCTGACAGTCATCAGCTGAAAAACAGATCCGAGTTCACTTCTTTGTCTCGTGTATTCATGGTGGCTGCTGGTGTTTTGGTGTGTTGAGCTCTGAGCTGGTTTTACTTCTGTTGGCTGGCTGCCACCCCACCCTCCCTTCACCCCCCACCCCCACTAAACAACCAGAGCTTCCGGTCCACTTTCTGTTAAATGAAGCAAGGTGTCAGAAGGTTTAATAAGATTCAGAGGCGGCCGGTTGGACGGCTCCATCCACTCAGGTGTTTCTTTTCAGTTTCTGAGCAGGTAAATCAAAACTCAAAAGATTTAGACTCTGATTCCAGATCAGAGTTTGACTTCCTGCTGAAAAACTGCGGCTGAGCTTCGATCTCACTTCTTTTTTGGTTATTTTTTTGTTGTTTTCAGTTTTTTGGCTGCTGCCCTCAAACTTTCTCTGGATGTTTTGTGAATCTCAGTTTTCTGCTGTCGGGTCAAAAAAAGCATCACAACAACTTGTTTTACTCATGAAACTCAACTCTATTTTCATCTGTCCATTAATTATTATGTAACAGATATTAAAGGGATAATTAATGTAATAAATGAATGGGTTGTGATAAATTAATACATTTTAATTGATTAACTGCAGAGTTTAAAATGGACTAAATAACATGAAAGAAATCCTTGAATGTATACGGCACCTCACAAGTTTCATTTCTTCATTTAAGTGCATTTTAAATGTATGGATGACTTTCAATGCTTTTTGGTATATTTGGTAATATTAATCACTGTTTAAAGACCAATTCAGGGACCCTGTAATGTTGTTTTGTAAAAATTTTTCTTCCATGTAGAAACCTTTAAAAACTGTTTTTACCGTCCATTAATGTTTTCATTTGTCCCAATTTTGGTAAATTTATCAGATTTCTGAATACTTAACAGGAATAACTTCAAATCCCTCAACTTTAATAATGTAAAACTCTGTAAACGGATCATTAAATCCCTTAAACGGACCAAATAAGGTGAAATCCATCCCTTCATTTTATATATTAAATACATTTTTTGGTTACTTTGCTATCTGGTCAATTCTAAAGGGGTTTTTACATTTTTAATATTTCATAATGCATTCATTTATGTACCCCTGCATTTGCAGCTAAATTGAAAAATGTAGTTCTTAACATAAAAAGGTAAATTAGCATTGTAATTTTATATATTTTAGGGGCATTTACCGCTTTTAAAAAACCCTTTACAGCTGAAAATATTTCAGATGAATTAAATTTGGAATTTAAGGGGAAATTTCTTTTTGAAATTAAGGTCTTTAAAGTTTAGTTTTTCAAATTGAAGAGGCAGCACTGTGGAAACTTTGTCTTCACTACAGTTTAAAATTAAGTTCTGCAGGTCTGTAGAGAAGTTATCTGCATAAGACAACTTTAACGCTATAAAACGGTTTAATTTGCACCCTAAAATTACGTTATGTCAAGTTCATAAAGTAACTGAGGTCTTTTTTACATTTGATTGAAAGGATTTGTAGTGGAATTTCTGAGTTTTAATGCTTTTTAAATGCTTGGTTAAATAACATGAAAGTCAAACTAGAATTAAAGTGAAATTTCAAAAACTGTGGACATAATCATCAATTAGATAATCTACAAATTTATACAGTTTTTACTTCTTAAAATTCCCCTAAAAGTCTTTTAGAAACCTTTTAATGTATCAATCTATTCATTCATCTACTACCAGAACAAGAATCCATAAAAATAAAAAACATAATCCCCCAATTTTATATTTACATTAAATAGCCTAACTCCTTAAACTAATGAATCATCATTTCAAGTTGACTTAACTTGAAAAGCTCTTAATTAATAAATTAACTTAAGGCATTTAAGAGTTTTAGATTTTCAGATTAAAAAGGTCCCATTAAGAATCTCTGGCTACCAAACATTTATTTTCCTCGTGAGGAATTAAACTCTGACTTTGTGCTGCGATGTGTTTTTAACCCGACAGTCAGATCGTCACAAACCCTCATTTTATTTTGTACATCTCAGTCTGACTTCCTGTCCCGCCCCCTCTCTGTCTGCTTCTATCCAATCAGGAGAAGCGGATCGACTCCCTGGACGCGGCGAACTCGCGGCTGATGGCGGCGCTGACGCAGGTGAAGGAGCGCTACAGCACGCCAAACCTCCGCAACGGCCTGTCACCCACCAACCCCACCAAACTGTCCATCACTGAGAACGGGGAGTTCAAGAACAGCAGCTGCTGATTGGCCGACCGGGACACGAGAGGCGGGGCTTAAACGCTCTGACCCCGCCCCCTCCTTCACCTGAAGGATGTTAAATCTATAAATACGAGTGTAAATACTGACGGTTTGGTCTGTTGGGTGTACAGAGTGTGTGTGTGTGTCACAGAAGCACAGTGAGGAAGAAACAAACCAAAAACAGAAACTGAACTCGACTTTTCTAAACTACTTTTTTTACCGTTTTTATTTGAATCTTCTGGTTTTTGTTGTCGAGGCCGAAGTTCGTTTGTTTTATGATTAAACTTTTTTTTATTAGCGTGGAGCCGTTTGTTTTTGTTGTTGATTTTTTTACCTGCCGAGTTGTTCTGGGGTTTTAATTTATTGCTCCACGTCGCCCCCTTGTTGTTGTTGTTGTTGTTGCTGATCTACTGAACAGACTCCTGCAGGGTCAAAGGTCACGCACCTGTCTGCTGTCCACATGTTGAGAATAAAAGCTGCCTGAAAGCCCGTCGTCTCATTTCTGTCGTCTCTGTGGAAACAAAAATCACACAGTGATTAATTTAATGTGTAACGGTTTAATTAGAAAGAATTAAAACTGATTTATAATGAGGGACTTTGCTTCCTCTCTTTAACGATATAATAAAGTGATTATTTTGGGATATTTTTCAAGGTTTTCTGGTGTTTGATAAACGCAATGATTGATCGATTAACTGAATATTAAAATAATCATTTGTTAACTTTGTTTTTTTTTGTTTTTGTTGCAGCAGCTGACTTTGAATTCATTTGACTTTTAAACTTAGGGAAAATGATGAACACAGATTCAGAGGTGAGACGTGAGGTACTTGGACATTATAATCACCTAAACGTTAAAATCCTTTAATATAACAAAGTATAAAATGCAAATCTACATTTTCAGGGTTTTTATTTCAGAGGATTCTTTCCAGCACAAAGGGCAGATAAAGGTTTATAAAAACAACATGGTGAGGATAAGAAACTGTCAAAGTGTCCAGCGTGTCCTGTTATAATGTAATAAATAATAAACATTTGGACTTTGACATTTTATATTAGACTTTAATACTGACAGTGATGGACAGGTTTTTTAAGACATTTGATTTCCCCTTTAATAGAATAAACCTTTTAATAAGAATCCTTTGGTTCAGTTTCAGGTTTTAAGTTTTTCCCGGAAGTTAATTTTAGCTTTTATTTTGAAAGACACCACAGGAAGTAGCGTGTTGTGATTATTCTCCTAACTTGACACAGCAGGTGAGTTTAACACTGACACGTTGTGCAGGTGTGTCGTAACGTCACCATTCATTAGATTAACTCAATCTGACAGATTAACCATAAAGAAGAACACGTGATTATTGATCACGTCAGGATGGTCAGCTTTTCTTTAACTTTATAACAAAGTGATTATTTCGGGATATTTGGAGACGCCACGTTGAAAATGACGAACGACAGAAAAAGCTAAATGTGACGAGCGTTTTTTGATCTGCTGAACAGACTCCTGCAGGGTCAAAGGTCACGCACCTGTCTGCTGTCCACGTGCTGAGAAGAAAAGCTGCCTGAAAGCCCGTCGCATCATTTCTGTCTCTGTGGAAACAAATCTGCACAACACACAGAAGCACAGTGAGGAAGAAACAAACCAAAAACAGAAACTGAACTCGACTTTTCTAAACTACTTTTTTTACCGTTTTTATTTGAATCTTCTGGTTTTTGTTGTCGAGGCCGAAGTTTGTTTGTTTTATGATTAAACTTTTTTTTATTAGCGTGGAGCCGTTTGTTTTTGTTGTTGATTTTTTTACCTGCCGAGTTGTTCTGGGGTTTTAATTTATTGCTCCACGTCGCCCCCTTGTTGTTGTTGTTGTTGTTGCTGATCTACTGAACAGACTCCTGCAGGGTCAAAGGTCACGCACCTGTCTGCTGTCCACATGTTGAGAATAAAAGCTGCCTGAAAGCCCGTCGTCTCATTTCTGTCGTCTCTGTGGAAACAAAAATCACACAGTGATTAATTTAATGTGTAACGGTTTAATTAGAAAGAATTAAAACTGATTTATAATGAGGGACTTTGCTTCCTCTCTTTAACGATATAATAAAGTGATTATTTTGGGATATTTTTCAAGGTTTTCTGGTGTTTGATAAACGCAATGATTGATCGATTAACTGAATATTAAAATAATCATTTGTTAACTTTGTTTTTTTTGTTTTTGTTGCAGCAGCTGACTTTGAATTCATTTGACTTTTAAACTTAGGGAAAATGATGAACACAGATTCAGAGGTGAGACGTGAGGTACTTGGACATTATAATCACCTAAACGTTAAAATCCTTTAATATAACAAAGTATAAAATGCAAATCTACATTTTCAGGGTTTTTATTTCAGAGGATTCTTTCCAGCACAAAGGGCAGATAAAGGTTTATAAAAACAACATGGTGAGGATAAGAAACTGTCAAAGTGTCCAGCGTGTCCTGTTATAATGTAATAAATAATAAACATTTGGACTTTGACATTTTATATTAGACTTTAATACTGACAGTGATGGACAGGTTTTTTAAGACATTTGATTTCCCCTTTAATAGAATAAACCTTTTAATAAGAATCCTTTGGTTCAGTTTCAGGTTTTAAGTTTTTCCCGGAAGTTAATTTTAGCTTTTATTTTGAAAGACACCACAGGAAGTAGCGTGTTGTGATTATTCTCCTAACTTGACACAGCAGGTGAGTTTAACACTGACACGTTGTGCAGGTGTGTCGTAACGTCACCATTCATTAGATTAACTCAATCTGACAGATTAACCATAAAGAAGAACACGTGATTATTGATCACGTCAGGATGGTCAGCTTTTCTTTAACTTTATAACAAAGTGATTATTTCGGGATATTTGGAGACGCCACGTTGAAAATGACGAACGACAGAAAAAGCTAAATGTGACGAGCGTTTTTTGATCTGCTGAACAGACTCCTGCAGGGTCAAAGGTCACGCACCTGTCTGCTGTCCACGTGCTGAGAAGAAAAGCTGCCTGAAAGCCCGTCGCATCATTTCTGTCTCTGTGGAAACAAATCTGCACGTCACACAATGATTAAATGATGTTTAACTGTTTGAAACACAGTTTAATTAGAAAGAATAAAACGTGATTGTTCACGTTAATGTTACAGTAAAGTGATAATTTTGGGGGTTTCGATAAAACAAGATGTTACAAGACGTCACGTTAAAAATGAAGAACGACAGAAAAAGCTAAATGTGACGAGAATTTTTCAACGTTTTCTGGTGTTTAATAAACCAAACGACTGATTAACAGAGAGAATAAACTGCAGATTAACTACAAATGAAAATAATCATTTGTTGACTAAAAGATTTTAGTTTCAATGGTGAAAAAGTGTTTTAAGTGACTTTTAATGAATTTAACTTTTACATTTTGTTAGAAATCAGAGGTGAGACGTAACTTACTGGAGTACTGCGCAGGTTAGAGGTACTTGTACTTAATTATGTAATTAGTTCATTTCTACTTCCATTTTGCTCTTTACTGATAAAAAAATCAGCTATTCATCAGGAGAAGTTTGTGCTTGAAAGAATTAAAACATTTTAATAAAAGAAGTGGGAACAAGGCAGCAGACATGTTTCATCTTTTGTAAAAGCTTAAATTGTCAACAGAATCTTAAAATGCTGCTCCTGAGAAAAATATAAGGTAAATAAACGTCTGGAAGGAGCCGCTCTGCAGAATAAATACTTACTTTCTGCTATTTCAAAGTACTTCTGTATTTTTACTTCAGTGATGAACGCAGGACTTTTATGAGTGGAAAAGAAATTATATTTATTTACTAGAATAAACGTTTCAATACCTGAATAAGAATCCTCGGATTCCGACTGAGGTGTGTTTTTAGACGGGTGCTTTTACTTTTTCGGAAGTTGATTTCAGCTTTTATTTTGAAAGACACCACCAGAAGTCACTTGTATTGCTCTCCTAACTTGACAGAACAGGTGAGTTTAACACGTTGTTGTGTGTTCTTATATTTTCTGCGTCTCGCAGGTGTGTCGTGACGTCACCGTGGTTCTCAGGTACTTCCTGTCCGCTCTGATTAAAAAAAGCCTTTTTTGTTGATTTTTTTACCTGCTGAGTTCTTTTGTTGCTCCACGTCGCCCCCTCCTGGGGTCAAAGGTCACGCACCTGTCTGCTGTCCACATGCCTGAAAGCCCGTCGCCTCATTTCTGTCGTCTCTGTGGAAACAAATGAATGTTTAACAGTTTGAAACACAGTTTAAATAGAAAGAGTAAAACATGATGTTACAGTAAACTGATCATTTTGGGGGTTTTGATAAAACAAGATGTTTGAAGACGTCACACTGAAAAGAACAGGAGAAAAACTTATAAAAACCAAACAACTCATTGATTAACGGCGAGAATAAACTGCAGATTAACTAAATATGAATGTGTGTGATCTATTGTGTTTTAGTTTTTAAGTTGCAGCAGCTGCCTTTAAATTCATTTAACTTTTAAATTCTGGTAGAAAAAAGGACGAACACAGAGATTCAGAGGTGAGATGGAACTTTCTGAAGTCCTGCACAGGTTAGAGGTTCCACTTTATGATGCTTTCTGTTTGTACTTCACTGTATAGATTTGACTTTTCATCAGGAGGAACACGCGTGTTGGCAAACTGTTCCTCTTCCTCGGGTGAGGAAGGAGTTTGTGCTCGAAACGTCTTCGTGTCCATGGACAATTAAAACTTTAAAGAGAAGTGTGAACGTGCTTCATAGTTTTGTGAAAGCTCAAGTTGTCCGACAGAATCTTAAAATGCTGCTTCTGAGTGAGATAAAAGCTAAATAAAAGTCTGGAGGGAGCCTCTCTGCAGAATCAGTACTTTAACTTGAAGTACTTTCTGCGATTTCACTGTACTTCTGTATTTTTACTACAGTAATGAATGCAGGACTTTTAATGAGTGAAAGAGAAAACCTTCTGACAATCTGCCAGTTTAAACACTTTTACTGCTTAAAATTCTTACAAATACAAACAAATACAAATACTGCAGTGTAATATCTTCAGTAAATGTAGAGATACTACAGTGTAATACTCCTTTACTAGTAGAAATAGTAGTGCGTAATACTGCATTAACAAAGCCTGCTTTCAAAGTCCAACAGTAAAATACTCAATTTCAAGTAAAGATACTACAGGTAATACTGCCTTACAAGTAAAAGTAGAAATACTACAGTGTAGTAGGGGAGAGCGGGGACAAAAGTACCGTTTTTCAGAAAAACCTGATTTTAAAAGATAATGTTTCAGACAGATATATTTTTGCTGTATTTCAGGCGGTATTTTGCACAAATGTAGAACGACTTCCGTATAATTTCACTTTAAACATGAGCGGCACATTGTTTTCAACCGCGTCAGCTGGGAAAAAAGTAACACAACAATACAAGCTAGTTGTTTCGTTTTACCACCCTTGTATTTAATAAATAAACATGACTGTGTAACTGCAAACACCTTTTGTCCTTTATCTTTAAAAAAATAAATTTTATTACATTTTTATTTTAAATATTCCGTTTCAAAAGTAACCTGAATTGTTTAGAACATTTCATATTATATTAAGGATATATTATAAATATATAATATAAACATGCAAATGTGTGAGCCTAAAACAGGGGGGAAATGGTTTGTTGTAGACTGTTTATGAACCTGATATGATTAAAATAAAATAAGAATATTGTTGCAGCAGCTTTAGAAACAGTGAAAAATGAAACATAATTTAGAAAGATGGGACAAAAATAAAAATAAACAATAAAATTAAGATAAAAATTTAAAAGCTATTTACAGAATAGGCCTGTACACATTTCACATTTTGAAATGAATTTAAAATTGTTTTAGTAAGCAGTGATCTGCATTCTGAGTGCTTTTTACAGGCAGGCCAAAATAAATATCAGCCGCTCTCTTAATATACGCATGCAGCTTCCTCTCCTAGTCCAAGAAGAAGACTTAATAATGTGATCTGTACCTGTGGTCTAGTCTTCTCCCCAATTATCTCTGCCCTCCTCCTGCATTATCTGAACAAAGCGACTCATCAGCTGACCTGAGACTAATGTTTCTAATAGAGAAACACATTCCCAGAAACATCTGGCTGAATCAGACCTCTGTCTTTCTGACCCACGCTATTGGCTTATTCTGTTGGTACAATATGACATAAACATGTTTTAATAAATGCTGCAACACACAGAAAAGTCACCACATTAGCAGCAGAAACAGAAACACTTGTTACTTTCTTCCCGATAGGAACTGACATATAAACACAATTTATTTTTATACTGAAAAACGCTGAAGGGAAACATCAGCTGTGTTAAAGCACTAAATAACCTTTAGATTAATCATTACTGTGACACATGAAACAAGAGAAACAACTTACAATTCAAAAAAAGAGTCGCACTCTCAGTTACATCCAAATAAAACCCAATATTAACACATAAATGCATCAATTCAGCTCATTTTTGTAGCTCTAGGTGCAGTTTGGTTTAATCTGGTTTCACTCTGTAACAAAGAACAAAAAAATACGTAGCACTACAAATACAGTTTATTTACTGTGATTATAAGGTTAGCATTATTGCTAACAACCTTATGCCAATAATGAATCAACCATGGAGAGTTTTTCCGGTTGTGTCCATTCTGCCGACATTATCTGACTGGAGGAAATGAGATCGGCTGGTTTGTGCAACCAGGTTTTTGCAGTAGCCCAACTTAGAGAAATCGCCGTTTACAGTATTTTCACAAATTGAATAAAGGTTTCACAAATCTGAAACTGTGTTTGATTGAAACTTTAGTCTCTCTGGAGGAATCTAGTCCAGATTTGAGAGCTCTATGTATAGTGGTTTTGGATCTAGCCCAGGTCTAATGTGGTCTACATGCGAAAAAAGCAATGAAATCAACCTTTAAAGCATTTTCACAAATTGAATAAAGGTTTCACAAATCTGAAACTATGTTTGATTGAAACTTTAGCCTCTCTGGGGTAATCTAGTCCAGATTTGAGAGCTCTATGTATAGTGGTTTTGGATCTACGCCAGGTCTAATGTGGTCTACATGCGAAAAAAGTGGATAAATCGTCCTTTAAAGCATTTTCACAAAAAGAATAAAGGTTTCACAAATCTGAAACTATGTTTGATTGAAACTTTAGTCTCTCTGGAGGAATCTAGTTCAGGTTTAAGAGCTCTAGGTATAGTGGTTTTGGATCTGGACCTGGTCTAATGTGGTCAGCATATGGAGAAAAAGCAGTGAAATTGTCCTTTTGTCATTTTCACAAATAAAATAAAAGTTTTTTCAAATCTAAAAAAGTGTTTCAGACAGCGTTAAGGCTTTGCCTAAAATGCATAACAGCTTTCACAGCAGTAAGAGGTGCAAAAAACTGAGAATCGGTCGCTCAGTAAAGCAACTTTCACTGAAGTTCCCCTTAACTTTCCTCTTAACTGCCGAATCGGAAGTTAACTTCAGCGTCGTGTGACAGGGGCGTTTTTAGGATCTTGAAACATTGGGGTCTTAGCCCAGCCCATAAAACTTTACATCTTCACATAATAATAATTGACCCTCCACTAAGCAGTAAAGCAACAGTAAACATCCTCTACTTATACAGCACAACAAAACTCACAACAACACTGTTAACTGTGTCATGTCTGTAAATCAAATAATATAACAACAAAACTGCGACAGTATGAGCCGGGGGGGCTGGAGGTTCTCCCCCAGAAAATTACACTGCATTCTGGTGTTTTTCTGCACCAATTTATTGTGGAAATTATTTATATAAAAAGGGACACACAAAATTCAGGTAGTGCTGTTGCTTTTAAATGACTTGAAGGCTGGAAATTCTGCCTTCAGATGTTAAGACTGATTACTCATTTGATCGTCCTTGTTGCTGAATTGTGGTGAACATTTAAGAACATTTTGATATTTTATGACCTTTTAACTGATTATTTATTCCCATCTTAAATGTGCAATTGTACTACTGCCTGCCTCGGCCAGGACACTCTGGGAAAAATAGTTTTTCTGGTTTAATAAAAGGTATAATAAAACATAATGCAGAGCAGCTCTCAGCTTTCAGACATGTTTCTCCTGTAGATCAACTTTTAATATCATCACTGCTGAATCAGGACACATGCAGGCCAGACTGATTGAGCCTCTTTAAATGTGCATGTGGCACCTTTTTACCTCATCAATAATAAATTAAAAGGGGCTATATTTAAGTTTTTAATTTTAATAAATCAAATTCTCATTGCCTTATTGTCAGTGGGCTCAAAACTCACTTAGCCTGTTTTCTCCGTTGCTTCCATCAGCCACTATTCTGCTTTTAATGCGAGGTCTCTGGGTCAGATTCAGCCCTGTGCGCTGCAGAGCCTCTCAGACTACAGCGACAACACGGCAGCTAACGACATGCAGGCCACTAACACCATAAAACAACCGGCTCACAGCAAAACACAGGCTCCACGTAAGGATCCAAAACAACAATAAAGGTTTCTGTGCTGAAGCCCATCAGACCAAACAGGTTCAGATGATGTTGAGTAAGAACAAAGTGAGCATTAGTAAAGCTGCAGAAACAGAGAAAGTCACGTTAGCTCGCCGGCTAACGCCGAGCAGTTGCTAATGTTATCCGGTGCAAAGTTATATCGCTTTCACATTACTTCACCAACGCGACCCCTGTTACTATCCTGTGGACCACTGTTGATTTAGCCTGCAAGAAAGGATGTAACGGCAAAAAGCAAATGTGGAGCGATTTGTTTCCTAACGTTAGCTTATAGCGATGCAGCCAGGAGCAGCTAGCTAACGCCACAGTAGCTCGGACCTGCCGCTGTTTGCTTCGTAACATTGAGTTTATGTTTATTGTGGTTTTACCAATACTCAGGTTCACAGCTTCTCCACCTCTCAGTCGCTGTAACTAACGTGACCCACATAACATGAACGGTCACAACACCGCAGAGGAAGGAAGAGCCATCCACTAACTAGTTACAGTAAAGTTACTGACTGCGGTCTGACTGTTATAAAGTGTGACACGTTATAATATCCTGTCCAGCTCACTAACTGTTTCATTATCATCCAATACTTTTAGCTGTGCTGACACTGCTGAGCCTCCGGTGACAGATTCCCAGATAGTAAAGATGGTTACTGAAAGCAGCAGGCGAGCTAACGATGTAGCACGTCGGCTAAATGCAGTAAATGTACTGTCATCATGTAACGAGCACGGATTAGTTCAACCTGCAGCTGATAAAAATATTACTGTAATGTTGCAGTGGGAGTTTACCACCATGTTGTGTGAAGCCGTCTCCCTGTCTGTCTATAGCTGCTGTCACTCTGCCTTCTTTCGGCAGGATTGTGCCGATATGCTGCTCGCTGCGCTGAATGAAGTAACGTTACGGAGCCGGTGTTGATCTGCCTCTGAGACGGGAACGCTGAAGTAACAGAGCCTGAACATGTCTGAGTGAAAAGCCACAGCCTGCATGCTGGTGATCCTGCGTTTATTGCAGGATTTCTGTAGGACAGCGGTCGTGTTTCGGATTCTGCTCACTCGTGACTTAAAGCGAGCACGTGTACGAGCACACGCCTGGTTGCAATCTTAAAACCGCACCGCTAGTGGCCGCTGGAAACTCCATAACGCCCCTTTAAATCATTTTAATTCAGTGATAAACTCCTGGACTTTAATAGCTCCTGTGTTTCAGCAGGTTTTCTGCTCATGTTCAAAGTTCTGCACATTCAGAATCTAACTGGGTTCTCTGACATTTCCAGAATAAATTATATTTTGAGAGGTTCAACAGGATTAATCATCATAAACTTTGAAATCAATCCGCACCGTGTGGAAGGGATCCATATCACGGGTTCTGCAACCCGTTGCACCACTACTGTCCATGGTAGTGCGGGGATGTTTAGCCCCGATGTGTCCACATGAGGAAAGGTCAAGATAGGCTATCAGAGGAAAAATGTCTAGACTAGGCAACTTGATGAGTTTATTTTTTTTAAGTAGTCCATTAAAATATTCCTGCAAATGCAGTGAAGAAGCTGATTATCTGTAATTTAGCTATTTCTACAATTATTTTCCTTTTTAAATCTCCATGAAGGTGTTGATAATATATATATATATATATACACACACAACTTGTTATCTGTGCCTTTGATTATGGAGATGGAGCCAACCACACAGCGTGCTTTGCTGTAGCACAGGCTGCCAACACAATCTGATTATTCCTGAAGCATCTAAATAATCTTCACAACGCAAAGAATTATTGTGGCAGAAACACGAGAGCAGCTCGTTGTTGAAGCAGGTAAACCTGCACACAGAGGAAGCTGTGCGTCATGCGCAAAACCCAACAGGACTGTTTTATCCACCATATTCTGTCTCTTTCTGTGCATCTCTGAAATAAATAAGAGCTGGAAGCTGCTGAGTGAAAGATTAGATTCACCGGCGACATCGCTATAAAACAATGTGGAAAGAAAAGAAACGGGCTGATGTCCAAAGCGATGCTCTGTTCAACAACAGGACACTTTTAATATATCTCAACAATGCAGTGCTCGTCTGACAGATCTTACAGTGTGAAGTCTTCATTTTCTCTGCAGAGACTAAAGAATCTTTTAATGCGCAGTTAGTGGAAACTGAACGTTTTTCACTTGCCGACTTGTGAAAGAGCGACGCAGGCTGCAGGTCCATGGAGCGGCTCACTGGGTTTCAGTTGTAGTAGAATAATAAAGCCTTAAACTAAAAAGATATTTGCCCGATTTTCTAAATGTTTGCATCTGCCAGCTCTGTGACTGTGACGAGCGCCCGACCAGCGCTTTACTGCGTAACTGCGCGCGCAGCCTGGATGAGCTCATTTCGGTTAATGAAGCAAAATGCAGATTACAGACTGGTTAAGTTATAAAAAGGTATGAATGGAAAATGTAGCGGAATTAAAAGTACATTAGATGTACTGAGCCCTGCTGCAGACACCATCACTGCTGCCTTCAGCTAGAAGCAACAGCAGCACAAAGAAAAAGTCAAGTCAAGTAATATTGAGGCACTTTGCTGCTCCGGCCTCAACATTTCTACACATTTCTACATTTCTACTGATGTGGACTGTGATTGATAGACTGGTCTCTTAGTAAACCGCCTCCTATAAATCGCCAGGAAGGCAATGCGAAACAAAACTTTACATTAGGAAAGGGGGGAAATGTATATATATATATATAATATATATAATATGAAGTGAAATATGTATAATGGCTCCTACATGTATCAGGTGATCAACCTCACCACAAATCCACACAGGTGTTAATTTCAGGGCTTCTGATAAAGTGACATCATCTTATTCTCAGGAGAACAAATAATAACAATAATCTCTCTCCTTCTCGCGAGTAAAGTTCATTTTTCGGCCTTTTGTTGTTTGTTTTATTAAAATCCTTCCGGGCTAACGAGGCCTCTCTCTGGGATTCTGGCCAGCTGATATCTAAAGCTCTCAAACAACAACCAACAGTTTTCATTAAAGTCTGACAAACAGACTTATTTACCTGTCCAGCAGAAAACAACTTCAGCTCCGCTTTGAAAACTTCTGTCCCACATTAACGTTAAAGTTTCCATCTGGGAAAATCCACAAAATCCTGATTTCTGCTGTCAGCTGTTTGTCCTCGTGCTAAATACCACGTGTGCTCCTCCAGCTGCCCAAATGTCACTTCTCTTCTCACTGCTAATGAACCAGAAGCCTCCTCAGAGACTGTATATTACTATTATTATTATTATTATTAATTAGTCCCTCTTCTTCTTCTCTGTATGTTTTCACTGTAGTGACGGCGTCTAAACTACCGGAACAAGCAGAAGACGGAAACGCGCTCTGCAGCGCTGTTTGTCCTTTGACGGCTCCGGTAGAAACAGGACGACAACATACAGGGACCTCCGCAGCAGGGGGTGCCCGCGGTGTCTGCAGACCTAAATGTCTCAAGGTCCTTACACACCACTGAAAACATACTTATGGATCTTATATTGCGTTTCTGTCAATAGAGCCTCAGAAATATTAAAGACTGGACCTTTAAAATGTGCAAACAGGTAAAAATAAACTTTAAGTTGACTTCCTGAGAATATAATCATAGAAAAAAATCCTTAACATTTTCACAGTAAACAGTAAAAATTTCAGAATAATATTTATTAATTATTGATGCCTTAATGTGTTCATCACTTTAATGTATAGTATAATGATTATTATTCCCAGTAGTAGTATAATTCTTCTAGTACTATGTTTGGCAGTTACTTTGTGCTGATTAAATACTGCAGTATGTCAGTAGCGTTAATTATTACACGCTGCTGTTACTCTGAGAGTTTCTCCTCCCTAAACTGACCTCACGGTTTAGTGATCAGTGCGCATGTGTGCTCCACGTGACCACCTGCCGGCCTCAGTATGAATCAACACACCTGAGACAGGTGAGCCTCAGCTGGACCGGATCGACCCAACGAGCCCAGACCGGAGACCAGTCTGCACGTGTCTGTTTCACTTCACCACATGTGATCCGTCCAGGAAGAAGTTTAACTAACCAAATGTTTTGAGTCTTTTTAATGCCATGTTCTACTTCTACTGCACATCTCAGAGGGAAATACTGCACTTTTTACTTCACTGCATGAATCTGACAGCTGTACTAATTTATAAAATCTGATGTTTTGTAATAAAGTGCAGCTGAAACGATCAGTCAGTTGATCAATAAATGGATCTGATGTTTCAGCTTCTCTGCTGCTTCTCTGACTGATTAATAACCGTCATGTTTGTTAGTAACGTTGATCTTTGGACTGTCGGCTGTGAAGGAGTCACTTTGGGCTCTGAGTAACTGTGAGGGCACAAACATCGATGGACCGATGGAGGAAATAATCAGCAGGTTGATCCAGAATGAAAAGAATCATCAGCTGCAGTCTGATACTAAACAGTTCAGAATGAGCTGCAGCTCAACAACTACAGCAGCAACATCCTGCTGCACATTAATGAGGAGGAAGAAGAATCTGAGGAGAGAATATATAATAGTACAACAGACACAGTTAATCTTGTTATTAATGACAAACACAAGTTTTCCTGCTGTCACGTGTCAAAATGTCTCCATAAAAAAGTTCTGCATGCTGTCAGGATTATAACTGTCACACTGCTGCCCTCTAGTGTCTGCAACAACACACTGCGTCTCCACCTGATACTACTACTACTGCTATTAATACTAATACTGCTGCGACTACTGTACTGCTGTTACTGTGTAGAACAAATCCTTCACACTGCTGCCCTCTAGTGGCAGCAGGTACACACTGACTCACACACGAGGCCTCTAGATCTACTACTACAGGGGCTGCTGCTGTTTCTACTGCTCCTAATACACTGATAGGACTTCTACTTATGGTCTGCAAATAACTGACTTGAATTTGATTATCCATCGTTTTCAAATAGTGATTGATGGAAATGTTCAGAGTTTCAAATTTGTCCCTGTTCTCCCACTGTATTAGTTTGTTCACTTTGATAGTCCGCAACATGTAATGATACAGTTTCTGTAGAAATACAGTACAAACCTTAAATGAAGTACAACATTTAATGTATACTGATTTACAGTTTCTGTAAAATCTCCTCAACTGAAAACATGCTGAATAAATACAAAGTAAGTTGATGCATCTACAAGATTCTCACTGTTTCAATTAAAGTGGTTTAAATTAATCCAAATAAAGTGCTGTTGAATCTAAAACTATTTTCTCTCAGCCAGACACCTTCATCAAATATTGTCTTTGCTTGCAGTAGTTATGTTTGGCGGTGTGGCTCTGTTCTGGGACCCACTGATACACTGATTGGTCAGGACTAACCTTAAAGCAGGAGCTGAGGTGTCAGTGGGTTACAAGCAGCTCGCAGAGAAAGCAGGCTAGAGCGGCTTCAATAAGGCGTTTCTCAACGTGTCCAGCTCGTCTGTTAAAGTTACTATGACGATGACGATTCATGACTGAAGTAAAAAATGAGTGAACAAACCAGTGCCAAGAAAAGAAAATGATTACTTTTAAGAGACAGAATAAAAATATTTTTATTTAGTTTCATTTGTAGGCTTTATTTCATTTATTGGTCAAATTGTGTTTTCATTGCAGTGTAAGAATAAAAATGTAATAATGTTAAAGTTTTATTAATTCCTGTAGGCTTACACACATGGTGCATTACATACCGTATTACAAAACTTAAGTTTGAAAGGTATTTTAGTGTTACAATATATAAGTACACATAAATATACAAGAAATATGTTTATTTAAATATTTACCCTGTTAAATGTTATATGTACACAATCCCTTTATATAATAAGCTACATAGTCATTAATAAATAATTGTTGCCAAAAAAACAACAGATAAATACTGTATAAATAATGTAGTGATTTCAGTACAAAAATGAGAAATAAAGGTAGTTTGTCATTATTGGCATAATACCTAAAATAACAGTTGGGTTAGAGATTTGTTGATTGGTTTTCTACACAGTTTAACCCCCCCAGAAAACTACCGTTATTTTCCATAAAATTAGGACTTTTGTTTGCAGTGCACCTCAACAACGATTGGATGGATTGTGATGAAATGTGTTTCTGTTTCCGGCTCTGACAAAGAAGCCTTTAGTCATGTTTGTATGAGGACTTGTTGGCTCTCATCAACACCAAGTGTAAACTGTAAAGTTCACCTTTGATGGCTAAAATCCCCATAAATAAAGTCCATGGACGTGACGTCCAGGTGGGTCGTCATTGTTGGTCTCTGGGCTCAGTTCAACTCTGTGTGGGTGGAGGGCTCAGTGGAAAAAAGGCTTCCAGACAACAAGAGAAAAGACTACAGAGAGGGAGAGGAGTTGATGAGTGTGTACAGCAGCAGATATGAATCTGTTCTCAGTCGTTATTAGGACTCATAAAAAACTGTTGACAGCCAATCAGCACTTCCTTTCCTGCAGCAGTGTGGGTTTCTGCTCTGCAGCCTCCTCACCGCTAGCTGCACTTTTTCACATTAAAAACACAATGACAGTTACAACCGTCAAATCATTCCAGGAAGTTCAGTTTGATTTCAGCGCTCAGTACTCACTGTCTCAGTTTTGATCTGTTATTAATCTGTGAGAGAAACAGCTCAAATCCTGAACTCAGAGCTGAGAAGCTGAAATAAAAGGAGATATGTTCAACCACCTGCAGTCTGCTCTGATCCCACTTTATGACCTCACACTGATTCTAACAGGCAGTCAGTCAGACAGAGTGTTCACATGCGAATAATAACTAATATGTTGCCAACATGATGGCTGTGTATGTTGTGTAAACAACAGTGTCATCAGCGTAGAGCTTTACAAATATACTGACGCAATTATAAAAAGGGGTCAGCACTGAACCTGGTGGCACACCTACACCTGCTGACTTGTGTATAACAACTAAATATTTATGTTTGCTCATCTTTGTTGAGCTTTGTTGTCCTTTTTTAGTTGTCAAACCAGAGTCAAATGACTTGTATCTGCCAACAAACACGGCCAATGAAGCTGATTCTGGTTCTGATTATTTGCTATGAAGACAAACTGAAATCCATAAAAACAAGAATGTTTATAAAACACAGACGCTGGGATTTTTCAGTTTATTGAGAAAAACTGAAAGAATTTGCCAAACCTGCCACACTGCATAATGTATTAAGAGACACAAGAACAGAAAAATACTACAAACAATAAAATATCTCGCAGACAGCTTCAGCTTCATTTTCTATTATTATACAAGTCACAATTAAAAGTGGAAATAAACTACAGCATCAAAATAACAGTACTCCACAGAACTCTGCAAGCTGCAAATATATGTGTATATATTTTAAGGATGACTCTATCTAACCTGTGCACATCTTACATTTCTGACAGCTGATCAAAGTGATCACTGAGATGAATTGATGAGATCTGATGGTGAGAAAAGGCGAGCAGAAAACAGTCAGTCAGCATGTGTGCAGCCGGTGGACGGTCCCTTGTTTCTGAGGATTCACAGCAGAGAGAGTCCACAGCAGTACACCAGACTCTTCACTATCAGCACTGTGTACAGCAGCCAGAGCAGCTTCACCCTGCACTGAGACTGGAAGGACACTGACAGACAAACAGAAAGAGACATTAGTATACTTGGGACTTTTCCAGACGGAACAGCTTCACATTAAGACTGGGGACTGCCAGAGTTTGGGTGAAATCCTAAAGGCCCTACCAAGCTTTTGAGGGGCCCTAAACAGGATCTGATTTCCTTTTCCCAGTTAAGAGCTATAATTAACTTTGTAATTATGACAATTAAAGTCCCTCAAGGATCAAATGAAAAGTCCATATTTAAAAAGAAACAGGTTATTATGAGTTTGAAGTCGGACTAGTTGATTTTTACATGCAGCCCTAACTGCAGCAGAACATTGGAGCTGTCTATGTAGAGAGGCAGCAGGTGATCTTACAGTCAGCTTGCTGCAGAGCTGCCAGGTCTGCTGGCTCTCTCTCTGGAGGACAGGAGGCCACCGGAACCTCTGAAACAGAAAAGGAGTCAGAAAGAAATGTCAGTCCTCTGCTCCTCTGCTCTCTTTGACAGCGTCTCCACATGAAGCTGAATCTCTGCTGAACACAGTCACCAAGCCTTCATTACCTTGTTCTGTTTGGGCCTCCACTTCCCCCCCCTCGTGCTGGACGTAGCAGCGGTATTTATACGTGTCGAGAGCGTCCCGATCAATCACTCTGATGGCGGCGGTGCGTCCCGACTCTCTGAGCTCCAGCTGCACCTCCTCAGCAGGTGCCTGCTCCTCCTCAGCAGGTGCCAGCTCCTCCAGAGACTCGTTCACCTTTCGTCTTTTCCAGGAGAAGCGGACCACAGGAGGAAACATGTTTGAGGCCACACACAGCAGGGAGCTCTTCCCCTCATGGTGGGCTCTGGATGCTGCTGGGTACACGCTCACCACGGGCTTCACTACCGGGTTATCTGAAGTTTGACAGCAGCAACAAGCAGCACAGACACACATTCACACAGTCAACAGCAGCTTCCAGCACTGCATTCAGTCTGATCCTGGAAACTACATGGACTCTGATCACTGAGCTCCTCATCAATACAGCACACAGTTCACTACATGGACTGGATTCACCTTCATATCACACACACGCATCATGTCATATATAATAATAATAATAATAACAATAATAATAATTCTCTATTTGAACATACAAAGTAAATTTGCTAATTTCACATGAATAAAAATGTGAAACTAACACAGTGTAAAATTGTCTTTTTAATTTGTCATTTTAATAATAATGTACAGCATATTATATAATTACCAGCATTTACTGAACTCTAATAACTAAAAACACAAATCAGTGCATCAATTATTGCATAATTTTATAATTTACATAATTTGCCATGATGATAACAACAATGTTTAAATAAAGCGGTTTTATTCACAATTAAACACAACTTCACAGATTTTTTTGGGAAATTGTCACTAAGACTCCTCTAGAATATGAAAAATAATCTAATATAATATATCTAATTTAAAAATGTAAACAATCTCATATAAGACAATCTAATACAATAATGTCATATAAATAATAATATGTGCAGTATTCGACACATAATTGTTATCACACAATATCACAAAATATCGTTTAACACAAATTTACTGTTATATATTTATATCAAATTAAACATCATATACTATTTATATTAAATTTGTGTTAAGATACAAAAATATTATCACTATTATGATCCTATGTGTAGAAATGTATAATTTCTTTTCATCTTATTCAGTATCTGTTTGCCTTCATGTATAAATATATTCCACTAAAGGAATATGTAACATCATATAAAATTATCAAACAGTACATTATAACATTTAATTATACTATATAACATGTTTAAAGTGACATGCTATAATAAATAAATTTACTGACCTAAATTAAATTGTGTTTAATATTAATTATATAAAAAAAAGACAGCTGAATTACTGAGAGGATCAAATACTGTTTATTTGTAACTTTCCCAATGTCTTCCTTTTTCTATCTGAAACAGTTTTATCTGAAGCAGAAATTAAAGAATAACTTCAGTTGTGCAGTGAGATTTAAACATCTTTTCAGGAAGTATGAACCTTTTTATGTAGCAATAGCTGCACGGCTGTAAGAACTCTACTAATTATGAACAAACTAATATTTGAAGCCTGAAACAGCAGAAACTCATTAAAACACATTTTAACTTGTTCAATAAAACAACTGAAGGAAAATGTTTATTCTTACCTGTTACATACAGTTTAGTTCCTGAGCCAAAGATACCGTAGTATTTGTTTGCTCCCACAGTGAAACAGAGTAATACAAAAACCTGTCAGCTGCTGAATGTGTCAGCTGAGGTGAACGAGTCCAGATGATGAACCAGGATCATATTTCAGCTGCATGATGTGTTTCTCTAATGTTCATGTCAACATGACTGTCTCTTCTTTTATTGTCTTTTTAGACACACTATGAGTAGTGGTCATATTACGCTCATTTTCAGATTCATAATCTTATTTTGAGGTTGTAATAATAATAATTTTGTCAAACTACACGTTGCTGCAGCTCCTCTTTTCACCCTGTGTTGAAGGCTTCGTTTTAGCTATGGAGTGATACATCTTGTCTCTAAATGATCTTTGTTGGGAGTTGCACATGTGCAGTTCCTAGTTAAGGACTACTAGCCAATCAGAAGCAGAGAAGGGCGGGTCAGCGAGAAGCCGGTAAACAGCTCGGGTTCAGCCGTACGTGTTGCCGACCAGCTTGGCAACATGGACTGGAGCGAGAGTTTCAGAGCGGTGAGTTATTAATTTGTATCCATAAAGTTTTAACTGAGCTCTGTCTCTACATCACAGGAACAACTTTATGTCCACTGACTGCCTGGAGGGTAGCTAGTGTTTGGAAGGGAGAGGAGAGCTGTGTGCTGCAGCTCACTGTTTTTGAGGGCGTGTCCGAGTAGCCGCTTGGCGAGCGTTATGACTTATTTTCTTTTGATGTCACAAGAAAGCTGAAGTAAAGGTGGGACTACAAACGAGCTGTTTCCAGTTCAGAGCAGAGTTTTCTGTGGGAGATGGGAACTCCCTTTGGGCTGGACTTTGGGCTTTTTCACTTTGCAAACCTGTTACATGCACAAAAAAGGTATATAACTCAATAAAAGAGAGGGAACAAGCCAAAAAGCAGAATACCACCTCTTTAAAACTCTTACAACAGTCAAAATGTTGGTGGTAAAATGATAAAATCACACATCATTCTGTTGGTTTTGGGTGTACTGTCTATTATTTTAGTGGCGTTTGATCCAACACTGAGTTACACAAGTTACAGCAAGATATTAAATATCACTGCAGACTCACCTTTTGACCGATCTGCAAACCTTTTGAAATACTTGATATCTGCTATCTAGAGAATATATGTGTTGATTTTGGTAGCGTTTGAATGAAGAACGTGGAGATATGCTAATTATTTTAACATATTCTGAAATAAAAAAAGAGAGCCAGACTTGACCATAAGTTGCAGTGAGGCAAACTTTTGTCACATGTCAGTGACAAAACAAATTGTTGGCTCTCTGGGACGTACGGGTGATTTTCTTAGATTTTTTGAAGTTTGGAATGAGAAATGTCTAGAAATTTACATTTGTTGTAATAAGCCACACCCACTTTAATCGAAATATGATGTACCGGAGTGAATGGTCAACGTTAGAGTCAGCCAGTACAGTCGACCATTTTAAACAGAGACAAGAGTTTTTATTGTCAGCCAATGAAGGACCAGGTCCCAACCACAATCCAGAACCCTGCGTCCGAAGCTTCCTTCTCTCCCCACGACTCCCCACCACACTAGAAACACAACGAGTCCCAGGGGGTGTAGAGAGATTCCTGCAGGAAGTGGGCGCAGAGGAAGTGGCTTACATTAGCATGCTAACAAGCTAAACTAAGATGTTGGACATGGTGAACACTTTAGCTGAATTACCATGTTACCTTTGTAGCCGTGTTTGTTTGTTTGTTTGTTTGTTGCATCAGTTTGTGTACCAGCCACTGGGAAACTTCCTGGTTCTCCCACTGACCAGTCCGCCCTGATAACACAAAGTCATTTCACCCTTTGTTCAGAGGAAATACTGATTTGTGCAGCTTTAAATGTTACAAAGAGTTTAATTCTCCAAGGAGCGTTAAAGTTTTCAGTGAGTTGATCAAAAATCAAGCCGTTAACTTTGAAGATGCTGAAGTGTTGGTGTAGAGAAACTGTTGTCCTGATGGTGGCGCTAGAGGAAAGGTCAGGAGGTCACCATAAATGTTAGGATTCATCCTCTGGGAAGCAGAAACATCCACAGGACATTTATGGAAACCTGGCAACAGAACCAGCGTCCTAATAAGCCGCTGCTAGAAGGGCAACATCCTGACCTGACATGTGTCCAAGATTTGGCTTTTAAAATGGAAGAAAGTGAAATGATCTGCTGAAATCTACTGAAAGCTGTTAAACAACAAGTGCTGCTGGAAGGGTTTTCATTCAGAGCAGATTAGTATTGTGAGGGAGGAATGGACTTTATTCCAGCAGCAGAACAAAGAGGACGACTTTAATCTGCATCTGGAACATCTGGCTGGAAACTTTATCTATTATATATCATTTACTTTAAGGATTACTTCATAAAGTGAATCAGGATTATATTTTTATTTAGTTTCCTCTTTATCTTGTTTGCTCATTGTGCTTCTGTGCTGCTAGTTTGTCCTCACTGTGTGGAACAACAAGAAACCTGCTGGAATATCTGATCAAATAGAAATCAATAGAATATTAAAGAAATCCCTCAGCTCAGTATGTTTGTGACTCTGGCTGAGATGGAGGTGAAATATGTGAACCTGGGCTGTGGTTTACTGCTCTCTTCCTGTCACAAACACTGTTTGACATCTGCTGGTTTTTGTTCAGGCTGCACGGATCATTTCTCACTGTGGAGATCTTTCTTCCCACAGTAGCAGTAGTAGGTGGCTGAATGAGAGAGTTTAACTTTCTGGATCTGCAACTCACAGCCGTTCTGATTATTCACAGCTGAGAAATCATCTTTCTGTGTGTGATTGAAATCGGACTTAATCTCACCATTACTCCTATGAATAGCAAGAATCAAAGTGAATGTTTCTGTGTCTTTCTTCTGGCGCCAGCCTACATAATCCTGGTCACACTGGTCAGTTCCTCGACAGCTGAAGGAAACAGTTTCACCGACTCTCCTGGTCCATGTTAAATCCTGAATCAGGTCTGCTGCCATGGCAACCAGCGCTGTAGAGACACAGACAGATAGATGAAGGTCAGTGTGACAGTGTTTGTTCCAGGTGGAGTTTGCTGGCTCCTGATTGGCTGGAAACACTCACCTGAACACAGACAGCACAGAGCAGCAGCTGGGAGGAAAAGCATTGTGTGCAGTGGTGTTTCCTCTGGTGAACCTGGGGAGAAGTGGCGCTCTGATGCAGCTGAGGCCAAACAAGGACGAGCTGTGAGATCAGACGAGGGCCGCGTGGTTTCTAACGGGTCCTCAGACCTCCCATCAGCCCCTGCGGCGGACAGATAAGGCTGCTGCTGCTGATTGACAGCTCAGCTGAAGCTGCTGTGTGGTTTTCTGCTGAGTCGGAGCTCATTCTGCTTTATTACAGTTCATCTCCTCTATTGAACTATTTCAAATCACTACAGCTACATTAGAAAGAAGGAAAACTACAAACTCGGCTGATTCTAACAGTGAAAATCATCAGTTCGAGGCAGGAACATGTAGTTGTGTCTCTCTAGTATAAAAAGTGGAACCAGCTTCTTGTTTTCATTGTGTGGT